AGATTTTTTACAGATTTTTGAATTGTCAAATCCTGTGCGTCAGTTTGTGTTTTCCCTCCTCCAATGTTTAAATCCAATTCATCCATTTCAAAATTCTGTATGTATTCTGTGAAAAAAATCTGTACTCATAGCATTGCTCAAATTATATTCCATTTAATTGTTCTTGTGGCATGTCAGCTTCACATAGAAGTGTTAAAATTATATCTTTAATATTTTAATTTAAGGTTTTGCTAAGTGTACACTAGACTTGATACCTCAGTGTATAGACCCCCTCACAAGAGGGAGGTCCACGATTTTTTTATTGGTTGTGGACCCTTCTTTTGTGAGAGAATTGTACATCGGGGTGTCAAACTCGACATACAAATAGTAAAACTCTTTAACTTGAAAACATGTCATCATCCTTACTTTAACTTTTCAATTAGTTGGTGTCGTATAACGACATAGTTATTATTGTTGCCAACTAAACAATTTTAATCATTTTGTGATGATAGGCAATGGGTACTCGAACAAGTGATAAATTTTGAAATTAAATTATAGACAAATTAAAATTTAATACCCAATTGAGCAGTTCGGTGATTGCATGTTAAATTTAACCCTTGTTTGAAGAGATTAAAATCGAAATTTTAACAAATTTTGATAAAATTTAAAGAAATGTACAGTTGAAGAGTTGTGATTTTGATTAAAATTAATTAAAATTTAACTTTAACTTTAACTTTTAATTCCTACCAAAACAGGAGTTTAATCGATTATGGAACCATATCAAAACCAACTCTAGTTTTAATTTGGACTTACACAAGAATAATCACTATAAGATAAACTAATTTTTTATTACCTTCGAATTTACTTTTTTATCAAGAATTAATGGAGCAAAGAATCTTCCAAAAAATAAAATTGTCTTTAATGTTTGATATTCTATTCTATTTGAAACACGCGTGGGGCACCTGCGACTTTATTCCATACCACTACACTTTCATCCTACTTTCCTTTTCTTCTTGCTCCTCTTCATACATTGACATCTATAAATACCCAGTTTAAGAATAATTTTTTATAAGGATCATTTGTTGAAATTTATGAAAAATGAATGAAGATCATAATTTTCCTCGAAGCCCTTTAATGAGTAGTAGCAGTAGTAGTTCATATGGAAAATTCTCACCTGAACCTGTCAGCTTCTCTTCTTCAGATGCTTCTTCTCCTGCCTTCACAAGTATGTAATTTATAATTTGGTAGGAACTGTGTGTTTCTTGTTGAAAAAGTTAATTTTTTTTCTTTGAAATGCAGATAAAGGGAAGGCATCAACTGGGAGGAATCACCGTAAGAAGTTTGAAAGAAAGGCTAACAGTTTAGCTTTCAGAATCCGCGAACACGGTAAAATACCTTACTGACGTATTTGGTATGCAGTATTGGATCTTAAATACACAAGATTTTAGCCATTTTTCCCGGTAATCCGAAGAATGATGGGATTTTACTCATAACCTGTCCCTCAAACTGGTAGCTCATTTGAGAACACCAATATTGAAATTCGATAGCTCTTTTAAGCCAATAGAATTGCTTATGTGAGCATTATGGACTCTCATATCGTATTAAGATTTGGAATTTCAGCCGAGAAGATTATGAGGAGTAACCAAGCCTTTATATGTTGGTTAATGATTTTACATTTAACCAATGCACGATTATACTTTTAATATGCCACCGCAAGATGGTAACTTATACGAAAACCCCAATCTTAGACTCCGATCGCTTGATTGAGCTTCTAGAAGAATCAAATTGCTCTTTTGAGCATTATGGGTCTTAATATCATGTTAAGTTGGGAGTTATCTTAAAAGGTTAACCTTTTTAAAATGAGTAGTCTATCCCCTCATATATTGCTTCGTATTTTTATATTTAACCGATGTGAATTTGTCCCTTTCTGTTGTGCAGTCGACCTTATCGAACAATCCCTAACAGTTTTGCATCTATTAATATATATGCAAGAGTCTTGATCTGGATAAATATGTTGAATTAATAACAAGTTATTGATGTTGAGTTTGCAGTTAGATTGGGGCCTAAATTATCTGAAACTGTAAAGGGGAAGCTGAGTGTAGGGGCCAGAATAATAAAGAAAGGAGGCAGACCAAATATATTTAGAGAAATATTTGGTGTTAGTGAGGAAGAGAAGGTGTTGAAGGCATCTCAGTGCTATTTATCAACCACAGCTGGTCCAATTGCTGGAATACTTTTCATTTCCACAGAAAAAATTGCGTTTTGCAGTGAAAGGTCCATTACTCTTCACTTGTCTACTGGAAGCCTTTTCAGGACTCCGTACAAGGTAAATTTTCCGATGAGTTATGCTAAATATATAAAGTTGGTTGACAAAATAACA